TCATTCCCATCTAGTCGTGACTCAGAATCGACTTCTGTAAAATCTCATGGCTCCATAGTACCTTAATTTATCATTTCCATATAATTTCAGACCCAAAGAACTCCTAGATTTGACCCAGAAACTCAAAATTCATATGGATCTGAATTTACAACTTGAAAATTCTTCCGATTAGATGAACAAAGGATGAATCCTTAAAGGGCACTACAAAACAGCATCGGTTTGACTTGTTGAGATCTCCAAAGCATGTACATGTTAACCCCATTCCCTTTTTCTTTGGTTCCTCTCTTTGTCTTTTCACGATTTTTTGAGCTGCACATAAGAGAAGCTCATTTGGTTCTAATCCATTCAACTAAATGGGTTGAGGGGCTTTGCCAACTACGAGAAGAAGACGAATACAGTTGTCTCTGGCAAAGCTGATGTAGGACTGTATTGTTAATAACAAGGTAACTATAGACCATCGAAACTCTACTCATTTGTCAGGAGCAACTAGCCAGACGAACGCATCATAAATAATATACATGTGCATTTCATTCTCAACAGTGGATGCAATTCACATCGAACCTTAGGTTGTAACGATAAGGACAAAGGAAATGGTGTTGATCTAGTGGAGTCAATATTATTGCCAATGATGATACGATGATAGTCAACCACAGCTCCGCTCAATCTTCAGGGGCAATTAGTCAGGTGGGTACAATTGAGCCAAATGCTCATCTTGCTCCAAAGGGCAATTTGAATCCAACATGAATGCTAAAAAATAGAAGGCTCGCGAAAAAAAAAAAAAAAGCCTAAGATGGCTAGTGAGCCTTGCCCTAGCATATATCGGTTATTCGTCCAAAGTTTGTTATCGACCGGAACATTTGACGGGGCCCGGTGAAGTACACTTCGAGGAGTCGTAATGTAAGTTCTTTCTCGTGTGGTTATTTTTCAAATCTCTTCAATGCTTTATTCTTCTTAAATTTTTCTAGTCCTTCACTAACACTTTGACGTACGGAGTTGCGCAGATAATTCTTCGTGGTGTTCTAAAAGAGTCGAAAAATCTTTGCAGCTACCATGAATGCAACAGCTTTAAAGTAAGCAACTGATTGTACTTCAATTTTTTCCTTCTTCTGTTAGTCCTGGAGAGGGTTAAGAGGAAAAAAATAAAAGAGGACGGTGTGAGTTGCGAGTTTTGTATGGTAACTTGTGTTTTATGTTGAACCGCGCAATACATTAGTCTCTGCAAGTTTGAGCGCCATGCTGGAGGGAAGACCAAGAAGCCGTATACTCGCATCTACTTCAAGACTTACAAGACCATCTACGAAGTTTTTCATGCGCTAAGGGCCACTCTGGAGGATATGTTTTCTCGTGCGATAATGAAAATCCCAGGTTCCTGAGAAAGCTTTAACATTTTGGAAAAGACATTCTAATCTTTCACTCCTTACCGGCGCACCTTCCTCAACTAAACTATCGCACTGTAAGCCATTGTACTATTGCAAGATAAATCGGTTCGGGTGCATTTAGCAAGTCATTTTGTTTTGCGGCTGCCCACAATATTGATCAATTTTGCTTCACTTTGGTAAAATGAAAAATCTGACGGTCCAAACTTTGTGCTCCTTCCTCGATTTAGTTTGCATTTCAATCATGAGTGGAGAGGAGCAAAAGAAATTGTTTTTTTGTAGTACTGCATCAATGTAAATGCATTGTTTCCTCATAGTGTTATATAAATATATGTAGATGTCTACATTGAATGCGTTAGATTCAATTCGAAAGTACAAAAAAAATTGAGAATTGCATGACTAACCTTGTCCACTCCAAAAAGAACAAACTTCTCCTCCATCACATCATTGAAAACCTTAATCATCACAACTTCATTCTCATCATTTACTCATCTATTCACAGGGGGCCTCAAATGCATCTTAATTATTATCTCCTTTCCAATATCCAAATTAAACCGTCTTATTCTTCTTCCATTCATCAGGGATTTGAATGCTCTTATACATTAAAATTCAAGTGATTAGGGCAACATAAGGAAGCTTCCAAATCCCTTTTTCATGGTTCGGTTCATGTGAAAAGAATGGTGTGAGGAGTGGAGAACCTGATGCTAGTGAGTATGACCCAAAAGATTTTGGTTTCATTATGAGAGATGTCAGCAGTAGTAGTGGCCTTTGGCCAGATGCACATGACGCGAATTTTTGACTGATTTTGAATTTGAGGGGGAAGGAGATTGTTCGAAACATGAGCCACGTGCTCTCTTTCAAAATCAGGTTTTCAGTCAAGATTTTTATAGGCATCATTGCAAGAGACATGAATTTTTACGAAATGAAACATTGGAGCAAAGATGATAAAAGGTAAAAAGATTGTTCATAAAATTGAAGATCAACTCATTGGGATTTTGGAAAATAGAGGTTGGAGTAAAAATGTGCCACCAATTCAGGATAAACTTCATTTAGAACACAATTTTTTCGTATGGATTTGTTCAAAATACTTTAATATGAACAACCCATGAAATTTGAAGAAATCAAAACCCACATAACGTTCATAATTTCTCGAGACAGAAGGAGATTAAAGTGATTTTTGTGTTCAATCGACAAAAAGAAAGGAGATTTGAAACTAAAAATCTAAAAAAAACACTCGGTGGATTTGCTAGTCAAGTAAACTTCTTCATTTTCAGATTCTGATTGATCTTGCATGCCATGCGAGATCAACTTCGTAGGCTTCCTTCGGTGCATTTCGGCAATGCTTATATCCAAGCATTTGCTTATTTTAACGTTTTGCTTATACTCATGAGAATACTATATAAAACTAAGAGGACCTTCTACTTTTAGGCAAACTCAATCTCTTTTTCCCTCCTAAAATGTATTAAAAATTTGAATCTAGAGGCAAACGCATAAGTTAATCATTTCATATAATCATTAATATTATTTAATATTAAAATATGAATTTTATCTATCCAAACGACAACCTTACTAGAAAATTTTCAAATCTTAAAGTTCCACCAATTATTACACATTTCTTGTGGAAAATTGTTTACTTTTATCATCCGTTCGTTTTACGAAAAATAACTTCCAAAAAAACGTTTTCCGGGTTTTTCGACATTCGTTTCATGGAAAATGAACTAACCATGGAAAACATTTTCCCTTAATAAACAAAACACCTTCAAAAGTGTGGAAAATGTTTTCCTCTTTTTGAAAAGAGGAAAACATTTTGTCCCCTTCTTCTTTCACTGTTCATTTTAATTATTTTAATTTTCTTTTTTTAAAAATTCTAATTTTAATTATATTTTCTTTTTCTTTTTCTCTTTTCTTTTTTTTTTTTTGGACCTTCTTCAGCCGGTTGCCAGCTATGGCGAAGTCCGGCGATCGACCACAGGTGTTGCTCGAGCCTCGCCACCCTCAAGCGATGCTCGAGCTCGCTTGTGGCCAATTGCTAGCTTTCGCCGTGCCCGGCGACCGGCCGGAGAAGAAGATGAAAATAAAATAAAATAAAATAAAAAAGAAAAGAAGAAAGTTAATTAAAAACTGATTTAAAATTTTTTTTATTAAAAGTAGTGTACGAAAGATTTGATTTCTGTACCAAACGGCAGAAAATATTTTTTTGAGTCTTTTTTAGATTTTATTTGAAAATTGGAAAATCGTGTCATTTTCTTAGAAAATGACTTCCTGGAAAATGTTTTCCAGAAACGTTATATTTTCCGCGAAATGAACGGAGCCTAAGATTCTCCTATTATTTGATTATTTAAATATTTTGCTTAATTTTTCAAATGATAAATTCTTGCATATAGGCAACGCATGTGCATATTTGCTAGTATAAAAAAAATTAAACTTGCCAATTAAAATTGAAAAAAAGAAAAAGGGTTAATATTACAAAAAAAATCAAACTATGCTCACCGTGACACAAATACCCCGAGCCATCATAAACTTACCCAAACTTTTTTTTGGATCACGAAAGAACCCGAACTTATATGTCCACATATAAGTTCAGGTTCTTTTGTGATAAAAAAAAAGTTGAGGGTATTTATGCCACATTGACTAAGGCCCTGTTTGGTTCAGTTTTGGGAAGGGGTTTTCGGTCTCAAAAGCCCCTTCCCAAAATGCTGAACCGTTTGGTTCAGCTTTCCAAGTTCGGAAAGCCGAAAGCTAGCATTTGGAATGCCGAAAGCCCAAAGCTAGTCCGGACCAGCTTTGGGCTTTCGGCATTCCACAAATGCTGACTGTTTCCAAAAAAAAAAAAAATTTCTTCATAAAGTGTGGTTGGCTAGGGTGGCCGGCTAGGGCTGCCGGCAAGGGGCCGATGAGGTCGCTCGACCCAGGCGACGGCCGCCTGAGGTCGTGTTGCCTGGGGTCACTCAACCCAGGCCGTCGCTGCCTGGGGTCGCGCGACCCCATGCGACGACGCCTGGGTCAAGCGACCCCAGGCAACCGTCGCCTAGGGTCGCTCGACCCAGGCCGTTGCCGCTGGGTCGCGCGACCTTAGGCGACGGCCGCCTGAGGTCGTGCAATGGCTGCTGGAGCTAGATCTGGCTCGCCGGTGGTCGTAGCCCTTCGCCGGAGCCGGCGAGGTTATTTTAAAAAAAAAAAAAACCTCCCAAAGCTCATTTGTAAAAAAGAATTTACCAAACACAATTGCATTTCCCCAAATGGCTTTCAAATGATTTTTTACCAAACACCACTTGCATTTCTCCAAGTGACTTTCACCTAAAGGTATTTGTATTCCTCCAGGTAACATTTCAAAAGCCGAATCAAACGGACCCTAAGTTTAGGGCTTTTGGCGATATAAAAAAAGTTCGAGATATTTGCGTTACAGTAGGCATAATTTGAAATTTTTTGTGATATTTGCTCAAAAGAAAAAGAAGAAGTAAGAAGGTAGATTAGATTAGATAACTTGTGGATCTAAAATAGGAAAAAGAGAAGGCACATATTCGGACCATCAAACCGGTCCGGACCCGGTGCAGAATCTAATTCGGATCCCATTCTCTAAAACCTCATTTTCCCCAAAAGCCACTTCCTCCCCTTCCTCAGCTTCGTCCCCACGCGCGCTGTCCGTCTTCCTCTGCGCCGTCTTCCTGTGCGATTCTTGGCCGCCGCCGCCCATTTCTCCCTCCGCCATGGACGACGTCGCCGAGGGGAAGAACTTCTCGTTCCCCGGCCAGGAGGAGCGGATCCTCCAGTTCTGGTCCGACATCAAGGCCTTCGACACCCAGCTGGAGCGCACCCGGGACCTCCCCGAGTACGTCTTCTACGACGGTCCCCCCTTCGCCACGGGGCTCCCCCACTACGGCCACATTCTCGCCGGCACCATCAAGGACGTCGTGACCCGGTACCAGGCCATGCGCGGCCACCACGTGACGCGGCGGTTCGGCTGGGACTGCCACGGCCTCCCCGTGGAGAGGGAGATCGATAAGAAGCTGGGGATCAGCAAGAAGGACGACGTGCTCGCGCTCGGTATCGATAAGTACAACGAGGAGTGTCGGAGTGTTGTCACCAGGTGCCTAATCTTTTGTTCTTTCCCCCTTTCTTTCTAGTGCTTGTCGGGAATTTGGAAAAAAAGAAAGTCTTTTGATGGATGTGGAAGCGGCAGTATTCATAGCTGCAAGTTCAACTCATGCATTGCTATAGATAGTGAAGTGAGTGCACCAGGCAAAATAGAAATTTATCTCCTTTTGGTTGCGTTTCGCGGAAATTTGTGCACGTGTTTGCAACTCGAGAGTTTGCTAGTTAGGAATGTCTCGTCTGAGGGATGCTGGTGATATCATTCGTCAAGAAAGAATGCGTTAATTAACCAGTTTTGAGTTTTGTTTGCTTTGTCTATATTTGGTCTGTGATGGGAAGTATTTCGGGCTTCCGGTGTACGTGTTCAAGAGCTGTGTTCTTGATCACAATGTCCTGATGTTTTTTGGGCTGGTGGGGATTTGATTACTGTGGTGTGTTCTTTTTTTCCTGTAGTTAATTTATCTGGTAGACAATTTGGAGACTGCCTTCATTATGAATTTCTGTGTGTAAATACATTTACTTGATTCATTCTTGGATTATTTGTCTTCTTATCTCATTAAATTATCTGTATTTATGGTGAAGGAATTGAGCAAATTAGTGTAAAAAATGGAAAAGCATTTATCTGAAATTAAATCGTTTATCAGGTATGTCGAGGAATGGGAGAAGATTATCACTCGAACGGGGCGGTGGATTGACTTCCGTAACGATTATAAGACTATGGACTTGAAGTTCATGGAGACTGTCTGGTGGGTCTTTGCTAAGCTCTTTGAGAAAGACCTTGTGTATAAAGGTTTCAAGGTTGGTTATTTGGAGTTTTTCTGATTTGTGTTTGTGCTTTATTAGGGTATTGGCACCTAAATTGCTAAAGTTCTATCAGAAAATGCATTAGCTACATTATATCACAGGTTCACTACTCTTATGAACACGGCAGTTCATAGATCTTTGCCGTAGACCTCTTGGCGATATTGTCGACGCGTGGCTCATAATTTGACATCTGCACTTGGTCATGCATAAACTTTTGAGTTCTTCTCAACTTTTGAAATTTGGCTCCCTTTTTCTTCGGATAAACTCTTGATTTCACTTTACATTGACAACGAGAATAGTCTCTTTAGTCGATTGTCATTTTTTTTTTTTTTCCTGATTGATGTGGTAATCTTGTTCTTAGATTGTAATTTGCTGATTTTGTGGTTTTAAAATTCTTTTGGCAGGTCATGCCATACAGCACTGGTCTGAAGACACCCCTATCAAATTTTGAAGCCGGGGATAACTATAAGGTACCTGAAAGTCTTACTTGTCTTCTGGTAATCCGCGTCTACCATTTTGTCGTTTTAAGAAGTCAGCCCTAAAATCTCTATGGTGCAATTTTTAGGCCCCTAAATGTCTGTTTGGTAAATTTCATCAGACTTTTGTTATATCAATAGCACATGCTAATTTCAATTTTTCTTCCTATTCATTTCTTTGTAAGAACAGGAGGTATCTGATCCTGAGATCATGTTGGCTTTCCCAATAGTGGGAGACTCGCACAAGGCTGCTTTTGTCGCATGGACAACAACCCCATGGACTCTTCCGAGTAATCTTGCACTTTGTGTTAACTCAAACTTTACATATGTCAAGGTTTGTGATTTCACTTATGTGCTGACCTTATATGATTGTTAGAATTTCAAATTGAGAAGTGTAGATGGCTGCTTTTGAGATACATTATCTACGGTAGATTAAGAGATCATCTGGTAGCTGATTATGACTTCTCATAAACTACTATTAGTAATCTATAGGTAATATTGTTGGTGAATTCGTTATTGGCAAGAACAGCTTACTGCCTGAAAGAGTCCCCTGTTGGCCCTTTTTTGTGGTAAGGGCAAAGGACAGAACATGCACAGCTTCCTTTCATCATAAATTCTACCCCAATGTGTCACTGATGTAGATGTTGAGTACCGAAATTGTGGGCCCTATTCTGATTGAAATTAAAATGAAACTAGTCAATACCTTGAGTTGTCATGCATAAAACTTCCCAAAAATCATGCTTAGGCTTCTTAAGCCTCATGAGTAAGAGTTGGGGATTGGCGGTAGCCATAGAAATGAGATTAAGGGAACTATATGTTATGATTGGAGTTGTCATCTTGTTTGTGACCTGTCAAGCTGTTAGTTTTAATGTTGTTTCTCTTGTTTTTTTATTTGGTTTGCCTATTGCTGTGAGCTATCTTTCTGTGGTCTCACTTTCATTGCTTTGTAATCGACTAATGTTATTGGTCCTTGAAGGAAAAATTGAAACTAGTTGTGATGATATTCTAGTGACGATCTCACTTTAACATGAGAATGCAGGTTCGAAACAAGTATTCAGGAAAGATATATGTGGTTGCTGAATCGAGGTTATCCTCCCTTCCTAGCGAATCTCAAAAACGAAAGACAACCAATGGACCTGTTGATGAAACAAAGAAGTCAAACCCTAAGAGTAAGGGGTCTGGAAGTAAAAAGGCTGAAGATGTGTCCTATGAAATCTTAGAGAAGTTCTCAGGAGCTTCCCTCGTGGGAATGAAGTGAGAACTCTTATTTATCTTTCTTGCACTACTGTTAGCTAGTTTCAAAATTTTTTGGCTGCCTTTTGAAATCAGTACCAGTATTGATGTCCTCTTGGACATGACTGTTGCAGATATGAACCATTGTTCAATTACTTCGTGGAGTTGACAGATACTGCTTTTAGAGTTGTTGCAGACAACTATGTCACTGATGACAGTGGTACAGGAATTGTTCACTGTGCTCCTGCATTTGGAGAAGATGATTATCGTGTTTGCCTTGAAAATCAAGTGATCAGTAAGGTCTGAATAAGGTTTTTTACTGCAATTTCTTGTATGATATATTTGGTTTTTTATTGCATCCAGTGAGCTCTTGGACTATGTAGGCATGGACTAGGCTACTAGCATTTTTTCAAAGCTGCCAGGAATTGCCATATCTAGTAGATAAGGGGCTAAATCTTCTTGTCTTGTTTCCATTTAAAGGACGATAGTATAGTCTGGAACAGTTTGGGCTACAATTGAGATGATGAGCAATTTGTATATTTTTCTGCTTATTCCTGATCCAATGCTGCAATTTAGTATTTGTGCACAATCTAAAAAATGTCAGATAATTTTTCAGCTAGCTTTCATAAGTAGCGCGATGAAAAGCTTCTAATGAGGCTCTCTTGTTAACTGATTGTTTATCTTTTTGGGTAGTTTGTAGTAATAGAGCTTGGCAGCTGGTTATTTCATGGTAAACAATGTAGCTGACGCAATTTTAGCAATCCTGCTTCAGGACTTACAGTGTGAGAGATGGTGGATCCGTTCTCCATTTTTCTGTATAGAAAGATGGAGCAGAGAGCTTGGTTTGTTTCGATGTTGTCAAAGGTTTATTTTTTGGATTTCCTCTTATCTCAGACGACTTTTTTCTGGGATCTATTGGCTGGAATTTTTTTGTGGTCACGTTCCTCACATTGGAAACAGTCATAATCAGATTTAGCTGATTATTTCATGGTAGACAATTAAGCAGCAACTATTTAAAAAATGCAAGAACTGATGGTTAAATTTGAGTTATAATGGAAAATTTTGGACAATTATAAATCAACATACGAATAGAGTATATACTCTAATTATTTTTGTCTGAACGCCGTGATGCTTAAGTAATAGCAGAGTATTAGCATGTTTATTACATTCCCTTTACATAAGTAACTTGGTGCTGCTGTTTGATCACAATGATTGATTGATTTGTATAGACAATTTGCAGTAAATTGCTATCTATCATTTCTCGCTATGAAAGTGAATCTAGCTGCTCTCATCATGTTGAACAGCAGGTTGGACTGGAAATTGGTTGCTTAACTGGTTTTCTGAATTGGCTCCTTTTGGTACATTGATTGTGCCACTGATCATGTGTTCTGATTATTCTCTCACCCCTTCACTTGTCTTGTTTGTCATACTCTGATTTGCTTTCCTAATATTCATTAGGATTGGTATAGATGCAGTATTTCTAGCTTATACCTATCTTTATATTGATAAAATAGTTTAGTCATTGCTTATGATGTTTGTTAGTGGCTGTGAATGTTTTACTTTGGAGCTCATCGGATAGTTTTATTCACCACCCATCCTTTTCTCATGTCACTATGTATGTTTGTTTTTTATTTTCTGTTCTATAGGGAGAGAACCTGATTGTGGCAGTTGATGATGATGGTTGTTTTACCAGTAAAATTACTGACTTTAGTGGGCGCTATGTCAAGGATGCAGATAAAGATATTATTCAAGCAGTGAAGGTAAAATGTGCTTGGACACTAATTGTCTTCCAATAAATATGCCTGAGGAATCAGTTTCATTGAACTTTACCTTGAATTATGTCTTACAACCTTATATGGCTTGTTCTCTCGCTACTAATTTTAAGTAGCACTTGTTTCCCTTAACTTGCGGTTTTTAAAATTAACATTCCACTATAGTCTTCCTTGTGTCAGAAGGATCAAATTATACGATAAGATTAAGGAATTGCGAAAAAATATATGTAAATCATAGATTGTTATTTTTCTGTTGAAATTGAGTGATTAAGCTTTAGGTAGGTATGTACTTCTTTAAGTATAATATGAAATGTCAAAATAGAAAAGTTAGCAGACTAAAATATAATAGATTTCTATGGAAATTTAATAGGTCTATACCAATCCTGTGATTTTATCAATTTGGATTGCATTCCTATCCTACCAAATAGATTCTACTTAAGAGCCGCATTGTTTTTTAGGTTACGAAGCTGCGAACCTTACTATGTTGATCATGATTTTGACAACCATACTTAAAATCTTTGCATGTTGCGTTTATTTTGTTGCAGGCCATGGGCAGACTAGTCAAGTCTGGAAGCTTCACTCATTCTTATCCTTATTGTTACAGATCTCAAACCCCTCTTATATATCGAGCTGTCCCAAGTTGGTGAGCCATACTTCTTAGCATCTTTGTTTTTTAAATCACATCTCTTTCTCGGGCTGTCTATTCATTCTAAGCTTTCTGTAGCTAAGGATGAGTACAATCCTATATGGATTGTGTTTTGAGGCATGGATTCTTCATGGAACCTTTAGTGAAATTCTGAGGCTGAAGTTGTTATTTTGTTTGCTTTATTAATAATAGGGATGATTATAAATAGAAGGAAATATTTGTTTTGTCATTTTTTTGTACTTCACGAAGTCATATATTAGTTTAATGCTTATTTGATTCTCCAAATTGCATATAGGTTCCCATGAGCATGTTAGTTATTTTGCTCTTTCCTTTTTGAAAAGTTTGAGGTGAAACTCGTTTTGTGTTCACTGCTCTTGTTTGCATTTCATCATGAGGCTCATGATATTTTTGTTTGGGCTCGACACTCCAATCACATGTCAGATTATGAGTTTAGTTTCTCAGGTGCGAGTTGAAAAATTCAAAATCAAAATTGTTGAACCTTTTGGCTTCTTTAATTTCTTTTTGGAAGGAAAGAAGGAGGGAGAAGGAAACCGGGGGGGGGGGGGTGCGTTTTCTAAATTCCTCGTTTGTTTTGTTAGGAGAAGGTTGTTAAGTGCAACTATGAATGCATAAGTATATGAAAACTTATTGTAATTGATAGTCCGTTTGATACCTCTAAAAGCTGTGTCCATTTGAATTGAAGCCTTGATGTATGCCATAATCATGAGTCAGAGCAAATCCATAGTTTAGATGCATTTCAAGGCTATATGCATTTTAAGTATGCCATTCTTTTTCAGATTAGAAATTTCTTGTAGTCTTAATTTATACATTGGCTCTTTGTTTGTCTATCTTGCTGCTCACAGTGCTTCTGTTTGTGGTCTGATTAGCTTCAATGGCTCATTGGTTGAATGTTTTCATATTAGTACTTCACTTGTAGATGTATTTTAGATCTTTGATATGTATTTGAAGAATTTATGTTGCACATTCAACTTTTCTGCCCTTATTGGGTTTTCCTGCTTCATTTGCTTTAGGTTTGTCCGGGTGGAGAATGTGAAGGAGCAGTTGTTAGAGAATAACAAACAGACTTACTGGGTTCCCGATTATGTGAAGGTTTGACAGATTTTGTTTGGCATTTTGACATTTCTTGTCACTGATTAAAAAAAAACGCATCATGTTTGTGAATTTTAGCATGTATATGTATAGATTATGTGGGTAGAGGTTTCAAGAAGTTAATCGAGGCTTTGTAAACATGGGTATCGATCCTTTCGACATTTGAAATGGACTTCTAGGCTTTCTAAACATGGTTATCAATCCTTTCGACATTTGAAATGGACTTCGTGCCTATAGAGCTAGCCATTACTGAAAAATGGTCGGTCTGAATTTCCCATTACTATTGAATTCCCTGACGACTAGCTTTTGATGAGGGACACATGGCCAAAGTGACTTAGCTGGGATTTGAAGTCTAAAGTAGGAAAGTCCTATGAAAAGTTGGTTGCTTTTGATGTTTCTGGGGTTCCTTATGCTATCGATCTCAACTTTAATGAGCTAAGAACTCTAATATTTCATATTTGTGGGCCGGACAGATTGGATACCTGTGACAGGAGATGCCTCTTATTCCTTTTATTGAGTACATGCATCACTGTGGATGTGTTTTTTTTACTTTCTATTTCATTGCAGGAAAAACGATTTCACAATTGGCTGGAAAATGCAAGGGATTGGGCTGTCAGTCGAAGCAGATTTTGGGGCACTCCTCTACCGATTTGGATTAGTGAGGATGGCGAGGAAATCATTGTCATGGACTCTATCGACAAACTTGAAAAGCTTTCTGGTGCCAAGGTTCTCTCTCTCTCTTGGTTTTATTGTCGACCTGATGGTTTGTTCTCATAGTTAGGTTCCCTCAGAGGTCCTTTTTAGTATTCATGTATCAATTTATTTGCTGTGATTTTGGGTTTGAGCTCTAATGAAAATTGTCGAGATGATCTCTGGAAGCCTTGATGACAATATTGTTGAGGAATTGGACTTTCAACATTAGTTAAATTTAAGTGCTCATGAAATATTAGGACTCTGAAACACACGTAACTCACTCACAAATGTAAAGCATATAGATGGTAGGATGTGATATGCCTCCTTGCTTACATTACTTGGTTTTGGCATTTCTCTTTGTACGTGTACCGTATTCATAGACATGTCTGTGCAGTTAGCTCTCCTCTTTGCAAGGTTTGGGCACAAGATCTTTGGATCTATACTGGACTCTTTGAGATGGAGAGTGAAAACTATTTGTCATTTATATCATTGTTCTCGCTTTATTTGCAGATTTTCGATCTACACCGACACAATATTGATCATATAACAATCCCCTCCAGTCGAGGTCCAGAGTTTGGTGTGCTTCGACGTGTACCTGACGTGAGTTAGCCAATCTTAATCTGTATTAATAGGTTTAGATTTGTTTTTATTGCTGTAAATCCCTTATTTTACTTTTTGGTTGTCGCATCTCTCTCTCTCTCTCTCTCTCTCTCTCTCTCTATATATATCTATATATATATGTTAATAAAGTGGCGCCTGGAATGCCAACCCATGTGCAAAATCACATACAGAAAAAAGAATTAAATAGGTCTAGAATAGCATTTTCTTCAAATCTCGTGATCTGTGTATAGCAAAAGCGTTCAGGCGGGCAAGATGAGATGTACACTCTTAAGGCACACTTTGACAGTGACTCGGGCACTTCCCAGGCTGATTGAGTAATGTCACTTGCCAAAAACCAAGAATCCCTTAACTTTTACAAAATGGCTCTCTGTATTATCAATGTTTTTCGTGTTTCTTTCCCTCCAAATCAACTAAAAAGTGGCCAGAGGGATCACTTTAAGTCTTCTTTGTCTTCTCTTTGCTAATGCATGTAGCCAACCAAGCTCTGAGCTCTTTTTGCACAGTCTTTGCACTTCCCAACCGAACCCTCACAAACCGACCAAACTAAAATCCAAAGTATGTCCTTGCCCTTCATAATTTGAACATGTTATATGGAAAATTTTCATATTTCTATGAGCCCCTGTGATAGCTTTTGTTGCATTACTAGGTCTTTAAGCCTGCGTTATTTCTCTGGTGCGGGTTACCGTGTTACTTCAGCATCTCATGACTAATGCTTCAGTTGGAGCAAACATTATTGGTGCTCTTTTTCCCTTCTGTGGACATGATGCTTATATGCTCAAGAAGAGTGAATTAGCGCAGCATTTGTAGCTGAAGAACATCTAGTTGATGAGTTTGCATAGAAATTCTGAAGACTCAGGCTTATGAAAGATGTTTTGTCTTGATGAAGCGTGCAAGATAGTCCATCAATCGTTATATTAAGATGATGAATTGATAAGCCGGCGGAAAAATAGGGAAAAGATGAAGAAAGGAATAAAGATAATGTTCATTAACTGCTAGCATTTTGCAAGTAGTGTAATTCCAATGCTATTAAATTCCTGTGTTGGAGGAGCAACCTAAAGTTTATATTATAATTTTGAGGTTTCACATTTAGTTATGCTTGGTGTAAAAGATCTAGCTTTGATCAGGACAGTGCCTTGAATTAAATTATTTAGAAGTTGGAGATTTGTGAGGCACGTGGTTTCTATCAAATATGCCACTAATGGTTTGGCTTGGTTGTGTAAGCAGATTCAAGAAGCTTATGGATCAAGTTTGTGGAAATGAATCACAAAGTCTTGACCTATACCTTAAAACATATCATTTCTTCTTTTGGGATATGGTAGTTCCATCTTTAGGCAAGATAGTGAGGGCCTCTGTTTCTGTTGGTTTAGTTTGCGTGCTTATCCGGACTAGGTAAAATTGAAGACGTGTATAAGCATTGGAGATTGTTCTGTAAAATCAATTTTCTCCTTGGAATGACGAACGAAATTTAATTGAGAAGGTACCAAGGGGGTACTGCCTCTATAATAATGGCTTCAAAAGGGATGCCACCCATGTACAAAATCTATGTACAAAATGACTGTTTCTAACATTTCCGACAAACTAGATGTATGAAATCAAACTTACCGAATGTTATGGTGTAAAAGAACATAAAGAAAGAGAACAGTACTCAACAGAGACATGCTTAGTAATTTCCTTAATGCTGATGTTACACTACATGGGAATAGTTGATTTGCCTTTTCTATGGCTGGGGAAGAATCAATTTTTGTGACAGGACAAGAACTTCACCGGTTTTTGTTGTTCTTGCATTGACCTGGGTTGTTTTTTCAGGTTTTCGATTGTTGGTTTGAGAGTGGATCCATGCCTTATGCTTACCTCCATTACCCATTTGAGAATGTTGAACTATTTGAGAAGAATTTTCCTGGGCATTTTGTGGCTGAAGGATTGGATCAAACTCGTGGATGGTTAGGTTCTTACTGCATATGCATTTCCTGACAACAGACTCGTATTTTTGGTTGTACAGATTGTAGCAAAATTGTACCTTCTTTGTTTGGAAAGATTACTTTACGCTCTCTTTCAGAGCTGTTAAAATGTGGTGATTTGAAGAACTGAACTGAGAAAACTGACTTGAAGGCATGATCTGCACAATTTAATCTATTATATAGATCCGGATGGATTTGTCGGAATAATTTTCAGATTTGGGGGTTTATTTGCAATTTTTTCTACTACATGGTTTTGTTGGGTATGGACTTCTGTGCTCAAGCTAAACGTTATGACTCTATCTGTCAGGTTTTACACACTTATGGTGTTGGCTACTGCATTATTTGGAAAACCTGCATTTAGGAATCTCATCTGCAATGGACTAGTTCTTGCTGAGGATGGGAAAAAGATGAGCAAGAGCTTGAAAAACTATCCTTCTCCCTTGAATGTTATAAATGATTATGGGGCCGTAAGTTTTCTTTCTTTGAATTCTTTTTATAAGATTGAAAATTCCTTCATGTGAAGGACACTATAAGTTGGGTTTTGTCTCATATCATGTATTCTGTGTCACAGGACGCATTGCGTTTATACTTGATCAATTCTCCAGTTGTGCGTGCAGAGGTTTTACGGTTCAAGAAGGAAGGGGTCTATTGTGTCGTGAGTGCACTTGCTCTAATATTACTTTTGAATTCTGAAGCATGTTTTCAAACTTGAGCTTTTTGACTTATCCTTTTATGCATTCTATATTTGTTTTACCAGGTCAAGGATGTATTTCTTCCATGGTACAATGCGTATAGATTTCTTGTCCAAAACGCAAAGAGACTTGAGGTTGAGGGGTCTGGACCATTCTTTCCTATTGATCAAGCTGCTCTCCAGAAATCTTCTAACGTACTTGACCAATGGATATACTCAGCCACTCAGAGTCTTGTTCATTTTGTCTGCCAAGAAATGGATGGATATCGACTATATACGGTCAGTTCTGCTGCTATATTGTAAAATTACTTATGCATTTAAATTTGTTTAATCGAATTAATGACTATTATGTGCTGATTACGGAACTTGTAGAAGCTCATCACTTTAGTTAATCACTACCATTCAAATAGAAGATTTTGTTTGGGTGAATGTCGCTTGACTTAACTGCAGTTAATCTGTAATGGTTTCTAGTGTTTGGCTTTAATAAGCATTTAGTGCTGGGGACATAATGCCATCTGCCAATTCTTCAGTAGCATTTAAAGTCTCGGTGATGTTGTTAATCTGCTTGTGTTGCCTGTAGAGGAGTTTGTTTTACTCAAGCACTGGCTGCATGCTCCCACACAAAGCTCACAATCATATTTAAAATATTGGTAGTCACCTCTTACAAATAAAAAAAATCTAAGAAGCCCCTTAAAATAAAAATATTTCATGGTATAGTCAAGTTCTCTTGGTTCTAACAGAAAACTAAGAGAGAGTGCCACATATTGATGTCCAACACAATTGACGCTGCTTTGTTCCCTGTTGTGCTTTTTATGAATTAGATGCATCTTGATTAAAATATCCCGTCTTGATATGTTAGGTATATTTGATACCTTGTCTGGAAAATGACTTTTGTATAAGGGTTGGTTCCCCTTTGGTCCTAGTTCAATAAGAGTATACTTTTTGCCTATCGAAAGGGAAAAAAGTATCACATCAGCCTATAGTAATCTCTTACTCTTTGTCAAAGTTCCTTTAGGTCAGCTCACTAGTCTCGCTGGAAAAAAATAAAAGATATATAACTACCCAACACAGTTTTCTCTCCTGATTTGTATTTTCTGCTTTGATCAAAGTAGTTGCATCTTAATTAATAGGCTCATGCTTAGCAAAAATTGATTGTGCCTCATAAAATATTAACAAGAATGCCTGCCCGCTACGCGCGCATGTTGGTGGCTCTCACATCATTTTATTGATGAGTGAAATATTCGTAAAAATATAAAAAGATGAGTACAAAACAAAAGGTGATAGTTCAGAAGAAAGTGAAATTTACAGATGTTATTGCGAAGGGTAAAATGGTTAATTTTGTGAGAAACCACTCCATAAAGTTCTCCCTTAATAGGTAGCATAGATAAATCTTTCTTTTGATGGTTTTTTCTTGAAACGGGTTACTTTATTGGTGGGTATTTGTGTTTTTTCCTATTAATAAAGCGAGTAAGCTCCCTTGTGTTGTGCTAAGTAACTCATAATGGTCATGATTTATCAGAGCTAATGTTAGTTAATATTCTAGCAAAGTTTTAGGAAAGTTGTAGAGAAGTAGAAAAAAAGAACCATTTGCCTGTATATTAAACTAAAAGGGTGAAATCTGAAAACTCGATGGGCTAAATTGATTAACAATACCTTGTCTTTTTTATAAGTCTGTGCCACTAATAGTTGCATGCTTTCTTTCTCACCGTCTACCTTTTGACTTTCCTTCGTGATAATTAATCTTATTAACAAATGTCAAAGCTGCTGAAGAGATGATACCATCAGCTTGAATATAGAACTTGATTAGTATACTAATCCCAAACATAGACAGACATAACTTCACTAGGAATCCAATCAAAAAACACAGGCTGTAGCGACCCATTGATCCCGAGCTTTGCCATTTGATGTGCACACCGGTTCTCTTCTCTGAAGATGTGGGTGATTTTACATTGAGCTTGCAAGTTCCAATTGGAATAACTCCCATTGCTTAGTGCATTAGCAACACATTTGTTTTTACTTTAAGTAATTGCGCTCCCTTATTAAGAGCCAACTGAAGACCCTCTTTTAAGGCCCAAACTTTCAGCAGCTACTGCTGAAGTGTGGCCTACATACCGAGAAAGCCCGCTACCCAGATTTCTTGATTATCACGCAATACACCTCCAGCCCCTGCTGCACCTATCAATCTTACAACCGCAGTATCAGTATTGAGCTTGTGCTAGCCCCTGCTGCACCTATTATTTTGTGCATCAAAGAATTCAGAAGCTCCTGATAAACAAAAGAAATGATATCATTAACAGATAAGTTGCTATAAATACTGCAGCATTACACCTAAGCCAAAGTGCCCATAAACCCATGGGGAAGATTAACTTCCTCGGGATCCAAGGATTAGCATACCCAACCTATGTCTTGACATTAGCGTGGATTGAATCCCTAAAACGAAGATCAAAGTATTCTGAAGGGGAGAAGTTGCACTGATGTCAGCCCAAATTTCTTTCGCTATGTCCAACTCTCTCACCACATGCTCAGGCATTGCCTCCTACCTTTTACATACAGGGAAAATAGTGCTAACATCCATACCTCTTCTTGCCAGAGTGGATCTTGTGGCGATGCTATTATGTGGCAATAATCAAATGGAAAATTGAATGCAATGAACATCCACTTTCTGCACCCAGCTCCAGCCTTCATCGTGCTTTCTCCCAGGATCCAAGCATTTAGCCAATTGATAAGCATCTTTCAAAGTAAAGTGCCTGTGATTAGATAAACTCCAACTAAACTCTAGTGTGTCCCCCCTCTGACTGGGACTGATAGCATCACATTTAGAATCTTGTCAGAAATGGGATAAGAGAGTCTGGAAAAGTCCCAAACTCCTGTAAAAATCCAACGGTCCTTCACCTTCAACTCCAGATCGCTGACATGCCTAGGCCCAGCTACTGGTTCCCCTGAACAACCCACACCCTGTCCAGTTGTCAAGTAGCAGGGTAGTTTCTTGTTCCTCGGTCAACAAATGTTTTAACCCCTTCTGGAAATGGTATCCTCTATTTCTAAAGCTCTCCTGACAATGGATCGTTTCATGCCTTGACTGAGTTGGTCCCTGCCATCCCTTCTAACAATGTACTTCTTCCTAATAAGGTCGGCCCACTTGGCTTTGTTTTCCAAATGGCCACCTAAACTTACCTTTACCTAGAAGGGCTATCTGTTGGCTCCTACTTTTGCATGGCCCCAAATTGCCCTTCTTCTTGCTCTTGGTTATCTATTGTCACCCTACAAGACGTACCTTCCTCTTGCCTTCAGACGAGCCCCATAGAAAATCCCTATCCATATTGTCTAGTTCATCACACACTTTGACAGGAAGCAAATTCAGGAATCGATTTATTTATGGATTTGACAAGAACAGCTTTACCTGCAGGGTATAATATACCTGCTTTCCAACCAGTGAGTTTAGTCCAAGCCTTCTGACTAACGAACTTGAAATGACGAGCACTAACATGATTTATATTGAGAGAAAGGCCTATGTATTTGCCAAGATCCTTAGAAGGAGCAATACCAAGAATTCGAGAAAGTCTGGCACAATTATCAGAGTTCCTATTTTCGGAAAAGAAGATTTTTGGTTACTGAAATTTACCTTTTGTCCAGAATAAGTGCAAATAAATAAATCGCATTTATTTTTTCATTTTTCTGCAAAGAATAAACACAAGAAAGCCAGCTCCCTTCTTGAGGGCTTCACCGGCTTCCACTTGCCATTGCGACATTCCTCTTCAATCAAATATCCAAGCATTTCCATTTCAAAGGATAAACAGGTAAAGGGAAATGGGATGCCTTGCTTTAATCCCTTACTCGGTGGGAAAGGATCAAGCATACTGCCATTCACAAGGATAGTGGTAGAAGCAGTAGTGATGCAAATTATTTATTCAACTCACGTGATCAGAATAACTATGGACGAGGTGAAAAACAGTTGCTTCGGGGAAAATGACTCTCCGCTGAGGGTTGGCCCAGGCATGGTCCAGCCAATCCTGTGCTTAGCACATATTTGCATTTGATACATTCCTCCGAAATTGAGTGCCGTTTTTCTTACCACACCACTGGCCTTTTTTTTGTCAGTTAGGTTGGTTAGATGATGCTTTTGTAAGTAGAAAATGTGCAAAAGTTATCAAAAGTGCTCATGCTTCAGCAAATTCTTAGGTTTCCAGTTCAATCTCATATACTGGCTGGTTTGGTTTGGGTAAAAGAATAGTACAGACATTGTAGTTGACAAGTGAAGTTACTATAATAAGGAGATTCTCTTTATCTGTTGACCTTATGTCCACTTGTTCGATGCTGCTGATGCTAGCGCTTGTATGCTTGGATGTTTAGCTTAAAGAGATCTCATTTTTGTTTTAAAGAGATCTATTGGAAACAGTCACAATAATCAAATTGTACTGATATGCAGTCTTCTGAGCAACTTCTTAAATGACTGTATTTTCCCCTCCTTTAAATGAAAATATTCCCCACTGTTCAGGGGAGTCAGAAGCATGCATTTATTTTATTTGGTATGCCTAGTTTTATGTTCACAGGATGTTTGTGCAGAGTTGGTATTCTTGGTCATTGTGATGTCAAAACTGATGCAGTTGTCCATCCACTCGTTGCAGGTTGTACCGTATCTCTTGAAGTTTCTTGACAACCTGACAAATATATATGTTCGCTTCAATCGCAAGAGACTAAAAGGTCGTACTGGAGATGAAGACTGCCGCACAGCTCTTTCAATGCTTTACAATGTATGTCCACTATATAGTCTGTTCTTTTCTTCGTTGTTTATCTCTTTAAAACCAGCACTATGATATTATGCTGCTTGTGTTACTGAAGTAGTGTAGTGTAGTTGGATTGGCTGCTTTTCCGGAGGGAGGGAGGGAGGGAGAGGGAGGGAGAATCATGCATGGCTCATTACTCTCGTTACTCGACTTGAGCTCAATGGATCTTGATTACTAGAGCTAGACTCGATTACTTCTAGCACTTAATGTAATCATTTGGGGAATGACTGGACTTGATTTGATTGTAAAATTTTTATAAAAGTAACGTAAATTTAGAACAGTGCAGATTATAAAAGTGCAACTACTTGATCAGGCTCGGGAGCTACTCAAATTCGATTAAGGGAGGGAGGGAGGGAGGGAGGGAGAATCATGCATGGCTCGTTACTTGACTTGAGCTCAATGGATCTTGATTACTAGAGCTAGACTCGATTACTTCTAACACTAAATGTAATCATTTGGGGAATGACCAGACTTTATTTGATTGTAAAATTTTTATAAAAGTAACGTAAATTTCGAACAGTGCGGATTGTAGAAGTGCAACTACTTGATCCGGCTCGGGAGCTACTCAAATTCAATTAAGGTATTTTTAATTTCGAGCTCGACTCAAATCAAGTACTAAATCTAACTCGCGAAGAAGCGAGCAGAGTTCAAGTAATCTATTCGCCGAGCTCAAGTAGCTTGACTTGTTACCCACCTCTCGTAGTGTCTCAGACCATCAACTATGGTGTGGCAAACAGCTGCACAAATTGTTTGCAATCACATACTCTTTAGTTTGTATTATGTGACATGCTCATGTTTACTCCCATTTGATAGATGTCTCAGTGGCTTTGCCGTTGGTCTATTTTTTTCCCTTCTAATGAGGTGTAGTTAGTTTGTGTGTGTATGTAGCTATAATATATATCATGTTTTGCTGTTCTCTAACTTTCATTTTTCGCCTATCAGGTCCTTTTAACTTCATGCAAAGTAATGGCCCCATTCACACCTTTCTTTACAGAGGTTCTTTACCAAAATATGCGAAAAGTTTGCAAAGGAGCAGAAGAAAGTGTTCATTTTTGCAAATTTCCTCAGGAAGAAGGAAAGGTAACGGAGATAGGACTGTCATAAGCATATCTTCAATATGCTATTTTTTTCGTTTTCCTTAGCCTAGCCAATCTATCATTAGAAGCCTAGCCAATCTATCATTAGAAGTAATAAAGGGCAAAGTAACCTTGTACTGGTTGTTCTCTAAATGCAAGTTATCTTCTTCCGCAGGTAGAAAGGAATAGATTAATCAATTAAATCAGGTTTATGTAGGGTTTTCGCTTGCTTGTTTCTTTTATCCTGCATGAACTCCACTGCATAGACATGTCTATTATTTTTTACAGGGATTTAAGTGTAATACTGATATAGTAGAAACTGTACGTACAAATTGATTGGGACTTAAAATTTCACATGAGAGACTTGCAATTATTTGTTCTAATATTTCTATCTTCCCTGTGCTGAGCTTTTTGGTGTTTCAAAGTATCATCTCTCTTTCCTCAAAATTCACTTTTTATTAAAAGCGAGTATGTGCACATTTGTCCTTGAATCTCACTAGCAGTTAAAATAAATATATATGCTCGATCTTTGATCCCTTTCTTAAGATCTGGCTTTGACATATAATATAATATTTCTCTTTTAAATTCTTACCCAATCCCTTCATCTCAGCGTGGTGAACGAATAGAACAAAGTGTCGCAAGAATGAAGACTATAATTGATCTTGCTCGTAATATTCGTGAGCGTCATGGCAAGCCTCTAAAAATGCCACTTAGGTTGGTTTATCACATTATCTCATAAGTGATTCTAAGGCTTCTGATCTTTCTCTCACCTTGTTCTACCTTATATAATTTAGTTTACTTGACATTTGCTGTGTTCGTGAGGACATGCAGGGAGATGATAGTGGTTCATTCGGATGTAGACTTTCTTGATGACATAGCAGGAAAACTAAAAGAGGTGAGAAACAGGGCAGTGTGATGATCTTTCTTTGTCATTGCTCATAGTATAACAGATCGTGCTAGTACGCATTTGCCTGGCCAGTCTTCATAGTCTTTTCTCTCTGTTATTTGTATATGTCTTTCGACATTTGTGAAGTTATAGCCATTTTTGAGAGGTGCTTCAATGTTCCCCATCCTTTTTAGTTGTTAGCAATCTCTTCTAAGGGTCTCTAAATGTTCCCCATCCTTGTTTAATTTGGTTAGTTACAGATTTCGGTTAAAAAATGAGTCAAATTTTCAGGAATGACCTTGCCATGATGTTTCCTGGCTACGTTTATCTTTGTGCTTATTTCAACTTTCTATTTAGCTTTCTTATAAGAGTAAATAAGGAAAATTCTCCTGTAGTGGGATTATTCCTGTGCCTGTAGGTTAATATGATTGTGAAGATTCATAGTATTTGCCGAAGTGGATATAGGTCGAACAGTGGGTGAGTTTAAAACCGCAATGACTAGTTTTTTTGTAATGGTTATTCAGTTAGCTCTGAGAATAACTTTCATAGTTTTGTTCCATTCTATAATTGACCACTTTACCTGTCTTTGGTTTACTTGGTAACAATATTCTTGCTTGCTCTAATTCAGTTGATTTGCAAATGTCTTTTGCTTTAATACATAGGGTCATGTTTTGATTCTTAGGGTCTTCATTTTGTTGCTCGATTAAATGAACCCCCTTATTTTGAATGGCAGTATTTGCTGGAAGAACTGAATGTACGATCTCTTGTCACATCAAAAGATATTTTGACATATGCCACTCTTCGTGCTGAGCCAGATTTCAGGTCTGTTGGTAGATATTTTCCTCTAGAGAATGTTAGTCATTTGTGGTTCTGAATGAACATCTCTTTATTTGTCCTCCACAGCGGATTAGGAAAGAGGCTTGGAAAGGCCATGGGAATAGTTGCTAAGGAAGTCAAAGCAATGTCGCAGGACGACATTTTGGCTTTTGAGAAATCAGGAGAACTAACCATTGCTTCACATTGTTTGAAGCGGGAGGATATTAAGGTACACACTTATATTCCTTGACTCCATTTTTCTCTGTTTCATTATTGTAAATTACATTTCTGGGCAGTATTGTAGAGGTAGAGAATTTGAAGGATCGGTGGTGGGGGAGTGAATCGTTCAAAGGGATTTCTTGCATAGATTTGCTTGATCTATAGCCAATATTTGCAGTCAGTTGCTGGGGGTTCTGAGATGGGAGATGATGTAAAGTGGACTTATATGAGCTTCCACAGGACTGAGAATATGTGGGGTTTGTGAAATTTTGCTTAGCTGTAAAATATGATGGCTAGTGCAAGGGAGGAGTAAGAAAATAATCTTGATTTTTTTTGGGGAATGAGAGAGTAAAATCTTGTTAATCACTTATTGACTCACCAAACTGAAGCTTTGGCAGCAATAAACCAATGCAGGTGCACTTGGACTTTGCTTGTACCAACAAAAGTTGCTATCCATGTTTGGTGAAACTTTATTGTGGTTGACATTTTTCAGAAGAAAGGATTTAGTTAATAAATACTGGTAGCACTGGTGAAGATACAGGCCATAACTCTTTTCATATAGTAAAACCAAACGTTTGTCAAATACAGCCTCATTCTTGAAAGTAGCTGTTTTGGCCAAGATGGGAATGGGAGTGGGAGAATGTCAATATCTTCAAATAGAGGGAATTGGGTTTACAATTCATTATTTGCAAGATTATTCCATAAATGGGTCTACACCTCTAGGTGCTCCTTAATCAATTCTTTGTTTGTCTCAAAAAATTTGGGGTAGTTATTTATCTTTTTGCTTGACATTGGATATAACAATGAAAAATGCATATCGTCTACTGGTGCTTGTTCGTTTAGATTCTGTTAGTGAGAATTTGTTTTTCGTGTTGATTATGATTTGGAACACTAATAACTGATTGCATTTACTAACATTCTCTTGTATTTTAGGTTGTTCGAGTTTTTAAATGTCCTGCTGGCAGGACTGAGAAGGAGATTGATGCATCTGGAGATGGTATACATCAGTCATGTCCTGATACTTGATCTACCAGTATTATTGTAGCTCTTATTCCTTTGTCTTTTTCACTCTTTTATTAAGGTGATGTTCTGGTCATTCTGGACTTGCGTGCGGATGAGTCATTGTTTGAGGCTGGGGTAGCTCGTGAGGTAAGAAACTGTTTTCTCCCTTTATCTGCTCTGCTGTCGATAGGATAGTTTCAGATTGGAACTAGACTTAAATTAGATGGGCGAACAAATATGAACTTTTAGCTTAGCAAGTTAGAAACGGTTTCCACCACATCTGTGAGGGACCTATTAAGTGCGGACATTGCTTGTCTTGTCTGACTGGCTAAATGGAGAGAGTGAATATCTGAAAACTGAAACTTTTACCCTTTTATAGGTGGTTAACAGAATTCAAAAGCTCCGGAAAAAGGTTGGACTCGAGCCAACTGATGTAGTGGAGGTTTACTTCAAGTCATCTGATGAAAATGAATCAGTTCTGCACCAAGTTTTAAATTCACAGGTATTGCTACTTCTATTATTGTCTGATCTGTGCAAGTAACACTGTTATACCAATCAGGAAACCTGAATTACGTCAGAGTTTGTTAAATGTTGCTTTAAAATTTAAGAAGCAGGAAGGTCTGGTTAAAGTATCCATTTGGTGGTGGTTGGGGGTGGATTCATAATTTAATTCTCCAGTCTACACTTTGTGAAGTTCTTTTAAGCAAATGTGACAATTATGCTGTCGTGGTCGTTACATGATAATTCTCAATTTTTTGACTTTTGAGACAAATATGTCAGGCAATTGCTAATATTCTATTTTGTTCTGGGTCACGATGGATTTTTCTGGATTCTGTCTTATTTTCCATAATTGCATGGAAGTTTATTTATTCTTGCGTTTAGATTTCTCGTTTTGGCAAATAATCCAGTAAAACTTAGTATTCTCTAAGCACTAGCAGAGGTTCCCTTTACTTGAATTATTTGTAATGTCAAATCGCTTGATAGTTTAGTCGTACGAGCACGAGATTAACTGAACGTTGTCTTTTTTTTCTTTTTAATTGTGAAGGAATCTTACATCAGGGAGGCAATTGGTTCTCCGTTGTTACCTTCTTCTCTGATGCCATCTGATGCTGTAAGTCAACGCTCTCAATTGCTTGACGCTCTTAATTCTTGTAGTTTCTTACTTTTACTTGTCAAACACTTGAGAGAGTAAAATGGATTATCTGGAATTTGATAATGGAGCTGTAGCAGCACTACGAAGAAACCACTCTGGACAAAGCTCTCGATTACCTTTCTTTAGTGAAGCATGACTGTTGGACAAGTGAAACGTGAAATTATAGTACTCAGAAGCAGTCTGCAGTTTTATTAAAAATCTGATTCAGAAGGGAATGAAGCCTACATTCTAAACTGAGTCCGAATATCGCATTCCTAGTTGGCACAAAACTGAAATAATTTTGGTAAAAGATAAGGGTGTCGGGTGATTGCACGTCTTTAAGGTCTTTTACTCAGTGTGCTGTGGTAATACGTTAAAAATTATCATTCTATATTATAACTGTCTGTTTTCCAGCAACAAATCATCATTATTTTCATAAGTTAGATTGGTCATTAGGTTCTCACCAGTGGCCTGCTGAGTTCCTGGATTTCTTGGTAACTTCAGCCTTCTAAATCATCACATTCACAAGATATGCCCACTTGGAAAATTCAATGAGTCACTTGTTTCGTTGATATTTCAAAAGAGATCTGGTGGAGAAATAACTTGTGGACCATAATCGATTGCAAGCACTGTGGTCAATTGATTATGTATATCTGTTTTTTTGGGTAAGGCAATTGATTATGTATCTTGTTATTACTTATCCATGACTAATCTTGTGCAAATAACAGGTCATCATAGGTGAAGATAGTTTCCGCACTACTGCTAATTTATACATTGCCATCAGTTTGACCAGACCCATGCTGGTGTGCAAGTCTGACTCTGTACTTGCATTATATGGAGGTTCTCTCTCTCTCTCTCTCTCTCTCTCTCTCTCTCTCTCTCTCTCTCTTGTGCGCGAACTCCCAAAAAAGAAAAAAGAAACCACGCACCGACACAAATGCACCCGCCAAACCTCTGCAGAGCCACATATGGCATACTTACATGAAGGTGACACACAGAAAGCCACATACTTCTGCTTCCTTCTAAGCCAACTATGCATGTATTAATTCATGAGAACTTAGAAATCAAGCAGACTTATCATTAATGAAACGAAGCTCCCTAGAATGTTTTTACTCTCTCTCTCCCTCTGAGATTAACATTCAATAATAACAGGTGACAGAAAAGCTGCCCAAGGTTTGATGACATATTTGAGGTCAAGGGACAACTTAAATCTTAAAGCTGAGTTTCAACTCGGAAATGGGGAGGTTAGTTCTATCCTAACATGGTGAACCGATATTGGTACTTTTTCACTTTTACTGAGATGACGTTTTTTCCTCTTTAAAGGAAGATTATACTTATCTAGGTTTAAATTTTCTGTTTTGGGGAATGGTGTGTGTGTGTGTGTGTGTGTGTGTGTGTGGGTGCGTGCGTGCGTGCGCGGGGGGCAATTCTTTTAGACATCTAGACTTGCGCTGCTTTTGTCGATTCTTTGTACATAAAATGTACTTATCTTGCCCTTGTATTTGAAAATTTGTACTCTCACTTTGTCTATGGTAATTTTGCAACGATCGATGCAAACGGTTTCCCTGAGAAGATCTTCCTTTTGGTTGTTTGCCTAAAAGAGCTGCTTCCATTATGCTAAGTAAAAGGTGTCATCCTTAGTACACAAGACGTAAATCCGTAGGTCTTGAGAAATCAATGTACCAAAAGTTGCAAAGAATTTCATTCTGGATTCTCAAGCACTTAATTTTAACCGATGCATGACTAGTCTTCAAGTCTTAGAACACAAATCGGATGGAGTTGAAGTTTTATTTGGGGCGACATGCTTTTCCTAAAATTTTGGTGTTTGCCTAGTTATCTTGACCTACCAGTCTGGTTATCGACTCCGGGGTGAAAAATATGCCCATGCTGATTTTTCTTTCCTAATTTTGTGCAGATTCTGGTTGACTGCATCGAGAATCAGCCTGCCGTGAGGGTGGTATTGGGAGATCATGTATTTTTGACAGTCGGCGACGATTATTTGAGTAACGAATCTTAGTTTGATATACCGCCATAGCTACTACACGGATTTTTGCCAACCTGAGCATTTCTTGCAGCCTGTTATAGTCAAAATGTCCCTGACCAACGAGCATTAATTTGTTAAAAAAACATTTGAAGTGTCTCAGTGATGTTGCCTTTATTAATTTTTGCAGTTCCCTGTTCGTAATTGTAAGGTCTCTCCCTTCTTATCTCTGGAATCTTCCCCTCACTTCAATGCCATTATACGAAGAGACTGACTGGTTTAATCACAGAAGAAACAACAGCTTTACAGAGCTGCAAGTAAGATGGATGAATCTTCAGAGATGTTACTCCTTTTTGGACCCGATTGGGATTTTCTGTTGGAATGATGCGTCATTGATTTATGTCGAGCTTGGTACGGCGGAAAGGAATGGAATGGAATTGGACGATTCATTTATTTGGTTGTATGAGAATGGAGTGGAATGAAATTTCTGCAAATCAAATTTTTAATTCGTTAATAGACCTGCATTTAATAAAATACGTACTTTTTTTATACTAGGTATCAGTTAGAAACCTTCTCAATTACTAAATAGCCTTTCGTCTAACCATGTCATATGAGTTTGTCTGAGTGTTGAGGAAAGTCAAATTGGGGTTCTCATGTAGAAGATTAAGCTGCAACTTATCAAAGGAAGCGAGTCTTTTGCGTTGATTAATTACCCTTGTCTATTGCAAAATTGAGCCTTCTCTAATCGCAAGCAACTCTTATCATTTTTAGACTAACTCGATAAACTTGTCACTAAAGCAAATTTTTATTTTTATTTTATACTGGCAATGGTTCTAACAATAATCTAATGCAAAAATGGTATTTGACTTTCTTTTATGGAAACTTAAGATTTTTAGAACACTAGGGAAGTAAATTTCGCAGATTTTGGTTGCTAAACTATTCATATTAGAAAAAAGCAAGCTTCATCAGTCTGTCAAGTAACTTCCTCGGAGAGCAGAAAAACTAATTTAATTTTTCAAATTATCCGAACAGAGTAATTTTAGATGTTGGTAATAGCAAACTTTTCATATACACATACCACAATTGTCAATAAATATAAGGATAATGATACAAATAGTTCATAAATTTTGGTTATTCATGAATTTTTAATTTGTTCAATATAATTCTTAAATTTTAATATAATGTTAAATGTAATCCCTAAACTTTTAATATAGAAAATGTTCAATGTAATCTCTAAACTCGAATTAATGAAAAGACTACACTGCACGTTTTCATACAATTCAGAACTTAAATTGAATAAGTACCAAAAGTTCAAGTATCACGTTAAACAAATTAAAAGTTCATGGATTATATTGCAATTAAGTTAAAATATTGCAACTATGCCAAAGTTGAACGAGTGTTTGTATAATTTTCCCATAAATATTCATTTTTGCTGCCTCGTCCCCTCCTTCGGGACTGTGTTCGTGGAGAGGAGAGAGATGAGCAGGAACAGCAGCAAGCTGAACTCGGTGTTCTACGCCGCGTCGTACCACCCGATCCAGGCCGGAAGCATCGACGGCACCGACGTCCTCCCCCACGACAACGCCGTCTACCGGGCCCACCTCTGTTCCTCCGCCGGCCTCTGTAAACTCCCACCACCACCCAGATGACCCGTTTTCTTTGCTTGGTTTCTGGTTCCTGACCCGTCTGGTTTGCTGCGTTTCCGGACACCCAGATGACCCGTTTGGCGATCCCAAAGCCGTGGGTGACCCTTACTGCACCCTCTTCGTCGGGCGTCTCTCCCACTTCACCTCCGAGGACACTCTCCGCAAGGTCTGGTCTTGTCTTTGTCTTTGTCTTGATTCTTTCGGCTGTTTCAGCTGTTGAGCTCCGTTTGAGGTGACAATGATTGCCTGCTTCGGAAGTACTTGTGACATGAATAAATGATAGAACTTGGCGTCTGTGAGGAAAGTGTTAGGAGCTGAAACTTTGTTTTAAATTTCGAGAAAAGGTATGGGAATGCGTGCTGCAGTTGTGGTGTGAAAAAGTCCTGTGTATTTCGGTTCTGACTGCTAAATTGAGCACTTTTCCTTGAATTTCCCTTTTTTGCTGTTTGTCTCCCGGTCGATTGCGTAGTATCTTTCGATTGATGAATGCTGCTTTGGTTTTGTTGACTGACGATATGAGTTCCCTCGTGCAGGCTATGAGCAAGTATGGTCGCGTGAAAAACCTGCGCTTGGTTAGGCACATTGGTAACCATCTTATAACCTCTTGTAATTTCTATGATTTTCAGTTTGTGGAGAGACCGTGTATAAGTGCTTTGGGTTGATAATGCCCGACTTTGCTTTTATTATTGCTTTTGCTGTGTCGACTTTACTTGAAATGAAAGAAAGCTTGGTGACTTGCGCATTATTCATTGGATTAACAGAGCCGCAATGCTCAATCTCGAAGCACCTTGTTACATGCTTAATGTTTTGATCCCCTAGTTTTTATGGAGATATTTCAGTGGCAGTAGTGTATATAACCTTTTTACCTTCGCGATAGCTAGTTTGAAGCTAGTAAGGGTCACTGCTTTATTATATTCTTCATCCTGTGCATATGTCTCGATTGCGTTTTGGATGACATAGTTATTTCTACCTCCTTTTCAATTCAAGGTGTTGGCATTGCAAATTTCTTACTCTGTCAGTACCTGTTTGCAGTGACTGGTGCCTCAAGAGGTTATGCTTTTGTCGAATATGAAACTGAAAGAGAAATGAGACGGGCATATAAGGTACTTTTACATTGTTCTTGACAATACTTCTTTCTGATACCTTCCCTCATTAATCTTTCTTGCATTAAATAGTAGTTTTAGGAAAGATGCCAGAAGTTCCTCATCCTTTGAGATGTACCTAGACTTATGATTGTCATTGTGCTCGATGCTTGATAAAAGCCTAATGTTGAGTCTTCTGAATTAGCCCTTGTGTCTTTGAGATAGTCTATGACATGCTGCTGATGAGGCTTTTATTGTTAATTCATCGTTGACGTTTCGCCGTGCAGCTTCTTAAGAGCTTTTTAGATGCCTTTCTGATCATATCTAATAGCTAGATACATTGTGTAAGTCGACCTCGAGATCTAAAACTATGAGTGCATTTTGATTCAAAAAGGGGATAAAAGGACATGCAAAATTAAGATAACTATCTGTTTAGAGAACAAAGTGGGTATGTTGGGTGTGGGACACTTATGCCATGTTTTGTTAAAAAAAAATACCTCAATATCTATAGTGAGAAACTATTAAAGAAATGTGTAACCTAAAAAAAATGAAAAACTACTAGAAAATCACACATTTTCACAAATATATTGCATCCCAATGCGTGTTATTTCATAATTTTCCCTCGTCTTGATGCATAGATTAGTCAGGCACTAGGATACTTGCTCATATCTGGCACACTTAGCAGAGTCTGAGTAACATAAACAGACTTCTGTCGAGTCGTTGTGAGAAAGCCGAAATCTTTAGAGCGTGGAAGGAGTGTAAAGCATGATTTTTGTGCCCGTTTAGGTCAACCCAGAATCCTAAAATAGTGTGAATTTTTCTGCACGAAGATAGCAAACGAAAGCATTCAGAATAAGAGATTACTTGGGTTGAACGAGGTAATTTGGAGCTTGTCTTGTAGACCCCGCTTTTAGTTTAACTTTTTGACTTTTAGGTCAACTTTCATTGAAAAGGTGCTTAGAAGCGGAAATGGTGTGGTATAGTTAGATTCTGTATATAAGTGTCAAGATAGCATATCTATTTGACTGAGACTAGCTTATTTTTTAAAGCGCTTATACATAACTGGGTTTTTTCCCTTAAAACAGGAAAATGCAAGCAAAGCATTAACATATCTCTTCTTCTGTAAAAGAACAGGAAAAACACCGAAAAAGCTGCTTTGAAGCTAGTCAGTAACTAACCTAGATTGCAATCCATAGCTTAATAATTATCTCTCTATGAAACTTGACATTACATTTTGCAGGACGCTCACCATTCTTTTATTGATGATTCTGAGATTATAGTTGACTATAATAGACAGCAATTAATGCCAGGATGGATCCCAAGGAGGTTAGGTTAGTCCAGCAACCTCTTTCTTTTCTTTCCTTGCTGCCAATATAAATTATGTTGATTCTAGTAATTCCTGCCAGGAGGAGGCCTTGGCGGTAAGAAAGAGTCAGGACAGCTTCGGTTTGGAGGACGAGAAAGACCATTTCGAGCTCCTCTGTAAGTATTTTTCATTCTTATATGGGTTTATGCTGTTCGCTTGAATTTCGATTAGTTTATTATGCTTTTGTTTTGCTTTTACATGTATGATATGAGATCTATCTGTACATTCTTTTCTTAGATATCATTTGCATTGACTCAAGGAACCGTAGTCATTGTTTGTGGGATATAATATGTTCCATCTCATTCAGCACATTGGTCACATCTTATTTGGTCTATGGTTATGAAGGTCCCTTGAGGAAAATGCACACTGGGAAATAAGGATCGAGTTAATGAAGTTTTATTTTTTTCCTTTTCTGGGGTTAACTCAAGAATAAGAATTTTGCTGTTGAGAGTCATAGTCATATCTTATTTTTTCTAGCTCCTTCCGGTCAAAAGTCTTCATTGTCCAGCTTGAATAACGATTATCAACTTGTCATCAATATTGGATGTGATTATTAGTCTTCATCTGGGAGGAGACAAATATGCAAGAAAAAGTTCTAACCTCTACCATTGTTTTAAAGTGGTTACAGGGATAACTGTTGCTGATTTATACTTGTTTCATGAAAGAAAATTAGCATAGCAAAAATAAGTCTATACGTTAGCCACACAAGAGTATTTAATATGGGCCAGTCTATATTATCCTGTATCTTGTTATAATCTATGATGGAGAACTTTGCTTGGCCTGAGTAAACCGATCATGAATTTCTTTGTTTTCATATATTTATAGATCATGGAAAAAAAGAATGCATATTTAATTTAATAGTTCAGTCTGAATTTTCTTTGGGTTTAGGATATTTGTGGCCAGAACGAGTTATATTGGATCTTCTAGCATGCTAGAATAGTTTGTTCAAACGCGTTGGGTAAAGTTTAGGGTCTTAGGTAATGGAGAAGCGGCATGGGTGAATTAATTTCACTAACCGAAAGTTGAAGGAATAGGTGTGATCCTTTTGGACACTTAAAAAATCGGAATATTCTGTTGCAAAGATGAAGCTGGGTCACATTTGATGATACTAACTCTTTCTCTATTTCTCGTTATACGATCAGTCGCCCAATCCCATTGGATGACTTGAAGAGGCTGGGCATCCCACCTCCCCCAGAGGGACGATACATGTCACGTTCTGAGGTATTGTCTCTGTTGTATCTAAATTCTGCATATAGCTCCATCAAAATGCATGTTTTAGCCTTCTTGAGATGGTTAGGAAATTTCATTTATATGATTAAACTTCTATACCTGAATGTCGTGATATTTCTGAGGTTAAGTTTGACCATGATTCAAAACTAAGACCTAAATGAATAATGGCGTTGATGGAGGTACTAACGTTTACTAGTTGAGCTCGCTTCCTCATCCATTCCTATTCAATATCCACTGCTCAAATGTTTTCTATTCTTGTTGCACCAGAACAGATTTTCCATAAAAAAGGTGCTCGCCTTTTTACACATGAAAATACTATTTCCACTGTTGAAAATTTCTTTTGACCACTTTTTTGCATAAGCAAGCTTGGAATCAGCCTCTCTATAGATCTGTCTGGATACTTGTTCCACTCCCCTCCTAAGATACTCTTCTTTTTTTGGCATTGGTGCAAACCATCACCCCTGAGGACTTAATTTGTGGGCATGGATGAGCATGAAGGTTAAGTGGCATTTCTGAGTTTGCTGTAAATTTGGTGGGAGGTTACCTAGCAGGAATTTTCCAGTTTTGAAGTGATTTATTTGGGATAAAGTCGTGGAAACTCTTAACTTACGTTCTTCTATATTAAGATTTTAATGAAATATTTTACTTGAATGTACTATCAGAAATGGAACTAGTGATACTTTTTCTTGGTATAGGTTTCCATGCTATATTTTGCATTTTGTCCCTCAGTAGGCATTATGTCTCCAACTCCATTAGGGGGAGGAGGCTATTATTAGCTTTCCATACTTCATTGCACCTTAATGGACGGATTTGGGTTTGGTAAGTCCCGTGGAGTGACTGGCCTTAGAGACAAAATTTATGCACTTTTGGTGAACGGGCTTGACCTTTTTTTCCCCTTTTGACTTTTCTGTGATAAATTTATGACAACCTGCACTTCCTTATGTCGAGTTCGTTCTCCTTTAAAAAAGTTGCCAGAAAAGTATCTGAGCAGTAGCCCTTTTGAGTTTTTCACGATTCGTGACATTTATTATGAAGCTTGTATATCAGAATGATCTCACGTCTTTTTCAGGTTCCATCACCCCCTAGAAGAGGACAGGGTTTGTTAGATAAGGAAGAAGGATCTCACAGAAGCTCTAGGAACAGAGAAGCGCATACTCACAAAAAAAACTCCAAGGAGAGGGAAGATCGCATGCATGGGAGGAGCCCTGAGGATGTATTAGATCACTCTTACTATAGAGGTTCTGAGGAAGAACATCGCCATGATAGGAGGCGCCATAAGGATAAGGAGTTTTCCAATAGGAAGAGCTCGATGGAATTGGAAGAGAAGTATCATTACAGAAGCTCTGTGGAGAAGGAAGAAGCTGTCAGAAGCTCTTTGGATGGGGAAGATCGCTCTCACAAACGGAGCTCCATCGATGATGACGAACGTGTCAAGAAAAGGAGCAAAAGAAGTTCATCGGAGAGAGAGGATCATAAAGAAAGAGACTTCTCTGATAGGGAGGAGCGCCATCACAAAAGCAGGTCTCGAGATGAGAGAGAGCGCTCTTATAAGCATGACAAACATCGTGAGAGATCCCATCAGCGTGAGGGGAAAAGATCTATCAGTCGGGAATATGCATCCAATTATTGATTTTTGGGAGGTTTGCATTTGGTTTGATTCCAGAGAAAGATGCACATAGGGATTGCTTTTTGCTTGCCTTTTACAGAATGTAATTCACCATCATTAATCTGTTCATAATGAAGTTTGATTTGCTTTTTAAGTTCATGGGAGGAGAATGATGTGCATAGAGATTTTAAGTAACTGGATATCTCATGGAGAATGATGTGCATAGAGATTTTAAGTAATTGGATATCTCATGCAGAGGTTTCCTCGACATTTCTACATCGAAGCCATAAAGAGAGGGGAAAAGTGTCAAAAAAGTCATAAACCTTTTGTATTGGTGCCAATTTAGTTCTAAATCTTTTTTTGGTGCTAATTTAGTCCTAAACTTTTTGCATTTGTGCCAATTGAGTCCTAAATTTTTTTTTTGCGCCAATTCAGTTCTAAACTTTTTGCATTGGTGCCAATTGAGTCCTAAACCTTTTTTTGGTGTCAATTCAATTCTAAACCTTTTGAATTGGTGCCAATTCAGTCCTAAACCTTTTGCATTTGTGTCAATTCAGTCTTTCCGATTAATTTAGCTCAAAAAGGTTTAGGACTGAATTGGTACAAATGCAAAAGGTTTAGGACTGAATTGGCACAAATGCAAAAGGTTTAGGACTCAAGTGGCACCAAAAAAAGGTTTAGGACTCAATTGGCACAAATGCAAAAGGTTTAGGACTAAATTGGCACAAATGCAAAAGGTTTAGGACTGAATTGGCATCAATACAAAAGGTTTAGGACTCAAGTGGCACCAAAAAAAGGTTTAGGACTCAATTGGCACAAATGCAAAAGGTTTAGGACTAAATTGGCACAAATACAAAAAGTTTAGGGCTAAATTGGCACCAAAAAAAGGTTTAGGATTAAATTAGCATAAATGTAAAAGGTTTAGGACTTTTTTGACACTTTTGCCTAAAGAGAGTGCGCAGCGGAAACTTTTGCAGAGGACGGTTTGCCGGTGACGAGGAACCAGAGGTGTTTTGGCACTCAGTTATTGATTACAATCGATATTGTCGTCATGTAAAGTTTAACCAGAGGTGGGGATCCGAAAGGCATACCGAGTGAGACTTCACTATCCGGAACATATAATTCCTTTTGAAGGTAGTCCATCTGCATTACTTTCGGATGCAAAATTCTCATTGAAAGTAACTTTTTAATTGGATAGATGACGCGTTGTGCTCCAAATTGGCAAGGAAAATTGGATTGTTACCTTATAAGCGCAGACTAATGCACCTTTTTTATCATTTATTCACTCTAGTGCTATTGTCTTTTTTAATTCCTACCATGATATCCTTCTCAAGAAGCTGCTTCACTGCCACGCAGCGGTCCGTTTAAGACCCAATTATCTAAATTTCTCTGCCGAAAAAATCGTCTTATAGTTCATCTATTCATCTCGAGGGAGGAAACGGAACCCCATTATCATTTTTGACCTATTAGGCGTCATACTCTATACCTGATTAACTTTACAAATTAGCGTCACCACGTCTCGTGACATGAGTTCATCCCATCTTCTACAAATGTCGAGAAGCTGATTTATCCGAAAGTGAACCGACGCGTCCATCTCATACTGTTATATATGACAACAAAGGTGACAAGGACCAAAACATATCAGGGGAGAGCATACATGTGTAGCAAGAATGTCTACAAGAAAGTCAAAAACACAGCGCTCGGCCACGCCCAAAGAGAGTAGGGTGTTCACATATTCTGTGGCTGTACAGCGTACATTGAAGTAAGAAGGCCCGACTAAAATTTGCAACTAAACATCGTTGGACATTTAATATAAAGACACGATCGCATGGGACACTTGCAAAGAAAATACATATGGACTAGCCGAGAAGACAACATCTCTCAACAAGCTCTTGCACTGAGGAAAGTGCCTCAAGACTGCAACATGTACAACTTCCATCTGTTTCAGTTCCCACAAACCACCTGGATCGGGGGCACAAAAAAGATGCAAATAATTTTGATCAGAACAGATGGATCTCTTTGAAAAAGAGGCAGAGATCAGGTAGTAATCAGGCAATCTCTTTTTGAGTGTGGTCCAGGTCTCAAATGTCACACGCAAGAGTGACTACGGTGGATGATGAGATAGCTACAATCTAACAATTAAGAGCAAGTACACGAGAAGAAACAGGAAAAGGTGTATTCTCCTTCAACACATGCTCTCTTTGTACTCATTGTTCCAGCTGTGAAAAGCAAATTTGGATACACAGGACGGCTGCATTTCCTATTCCAGCAACCAAGTTCGGAAATAAAAAAAATTGCTAACACAACATGCACAACAGAACCAGTCTAATGAGTATGAAGGCACAAGTAATGACCTAAATAACTCGCAAGTCTGTACAGTGTCGAAATATCTATTTTGCACCATCCTACCTCAGGTTTGTCTTGTGCCTACAAACTCATGCACTCATGCAACAATTTCTGATTTGCAGTCACTGGCAATAGAGACTCAGCTCATGGTCTCTTCCTTAACCACAACTTCACTAGTATTGGCCCTCTGTGCAGCCCTTCTTTTGGCTTGAATTTGCCGCACATATTCTGCCACTATGACATGGAATTTTGGAGCAAGTTTACTAGATGAAGTAACATTAAGTCCTGCCTTCTTCAAAGCCCGGGTGACGTGCTTTTGAGCTTTCTGGAAGTGGATGGTACAAAGAGAAGGAACGGTGGATCTCAGTATTGGCTTCCCACATGTTATTGGTCCCGCCTGAGCACTATAAATAAATGGATAATCAGTCGGTCACAGATAGCACGAAAGGGAATCGTGCTCAAATACACAGAAGATAAATCACACATCTAACAAAAGTTTTGCAATCTAAAAGACATGATTTAATCACTGTAGAAAATTAATTAAATAATTCATGAATGCTTAAGTCGTTTCAGGTTTCTAGTAGAAACTAGAAACCTGATCTTAAAGAACAATTATTAAATAATTCATGACAAAATCAGTTGCTTCAGGGTTCTAGTTTCTACTAGTAGACATGATCTTACCCTGAAACACATCAAACAGGACAATTTCTGGTGCTAAGCCCCAAAGAAAAAAAAAGCATAGACACCAAGAAGTAAAAGCGATACAACATGGGAAAGGATGTAATATATATGTAACCCTTGATATGAATATTTCTCTTAAGCCACAACTTCAGAGCAGGGAACTGGAACTCCATATAAGACCTCTTAAAAAGAAGCAACCAATTCTCCTTTTCGTCCATTGGGAGATTATTACCAAGAATTAATCAGCTAGACTTGATCAATCACATTCTCCAACCAGTCGGTGTATCTCTATATTGAAATTCCACTAACAGAGACATGGTCATCACCATTATTTGATGGGACTTTGTTCCCAGGAGAGTGAATCGCCCCTCTCATCCTTTCCTGTCCCCAACAACACCCCTGATGGGGAAAAAGGAAGAAACAGTGCCCACCCTCGTTACTCAGCTTCAACCCAAAGGAAAAGCATCTAAGGGAGTGATGGAGATCATAACATTATATATCTTGATAGTATGATTACTTCACATATAAAATTTACAGGTGAAAATGCCTAAGTAGTGACCTAGTGCAAAGCTGGACTTCAAATTCGAGAGCAATCAATCTGAGTTTAGGCACTTCCTGCCCCAGACTCTCACCCCAAGAACTCATTGAGTTTGCAAAACATACACATAAACCTTTTTTAGTACTCTGAGTCCCCTTCACTAGGATTCATGCACTAAATATCTGAGATCCATCCAACTCGCCAAAAGAAACAACTCAACTTTTCACCTCATGTAGAAAGCAAGGCTCTTTTCTCCCATTGAATAAGCACTAGTAGAAACAGGGCCGAGGTAACTTAAAAGCGTCATACTAGAAGATACATCAAGAAATCGGAATCTTAAACTCCTTTAACATAGAAGATAATCGCATCGCTTTCTAAAGTAAATTACATGCCAAATGCATTCTCTAATTAAGCATTTTTCTATCCCCAACTCTGACCGAGTAGAGTTCCCTTCCTCTCCTGTTCTCACATAAACACTTCTATCTAGTAAATACCTGAATTGCAACTTTTCCTCCATATGGGTCACGCCCATTACAAACAATATATAAACACTCCATTTTCTATTCAATGCCACTGATGTTTTATCAGAAATAACCATGGTTCGACAAATTTCGATCCATCCTCAAATGGCCAGTATCCACAATAATTCTATCGGCTCTATTCGTCACCGCAACCCGCACTAAATGATCCGGACAAAGGCGAGACAGTAACAACAGCGAGTATATTACCCAGCAAATAATCTGCACAATTTTCAAGATAAGCTAATCAAAGAGGGGCAGGGCAAAAGAATCACCTTTTGATGACATAGCTGCAAGCCTTGTAGAGCTTCTGCTTCGAATCGGACAATATATGCAAATGGCAAAAGCTCGTCAAAGCCATGGCCTTCAACTTACACCCGACGAACGCGCACCTATGATTATTGCCCCTCGCCTCGAACTCGATCCTACCCACGACACTGTTCCCGACGTTCTCCCCGATGCCTTCCCCGTTCGGCCCGTCCCGCTCCGACCCGTCCGCCTCCACCCGCTGATTCTCCTCCTTGAAGGGGCTCTCCCCGTACTTCCAGTAGAAATCCCGGTACTGCACCTTGAACTCCTCCATGAGCGCCCAGTAGTGGTCCCGGTAGCACCGCGAGAGCTGCCTGAGTCGGCGCGACCGCCGCCGCAGCACCTCCGGGCGCGTGAGGTGGGAGGCGCGGGCGAGGGCCGAGTCCTCGCGCCCCGGCGCCAGGGCCCGCCGCCGCCGCCGCCGCTGGTGGAGGCGACGGCGTGGGGGCGGCGGGGTTCTGGGGTCCGATTGGGGGAAATTAGGGTTCTTGAGGGGTGGCTTTGAGGAGGAGGAGGAGGAAGGGTGGTTGTGCTTCGAGGCAGAAGCCATGGAGAGGGAGTAGAGAGAGAAACCCGCGAAGGAAGCGAGCGAGCTATTGCTGATCGGGCAGGTAGCGATCCCTTTCTAGAGAGAGAGAGAGAAAGAAGAGAGAGAGAGAGAATCTGCAGAGGGAAGAAGAAGGGGCAGATGCTGACGAGAGGTTGAAGACGAAGAAGAAGAAGAAGGAGGAGACGAAGTTTGACCGTCGCCGCTTTTTGTCGCCGTGCGGAGATTCGGTTTTTTTTTTATATATATATTATTTTTTTCCGTTTTCAACCACCAAGAGATTTTGACCGCAAATTCACTCGGAAACTTATTTTATTATTATTTTTTTTTTTTTTAATTTGTAATTGTGGGAATCTAACTATAATAATACGCCGTTGGGTATTCCGGCAGTTTTGAAATATTTGAAGATAACGGGTCGGCCTGATTGAAGCCATGATCGCCATGAAAATTGCCGACCGCCGTGAAAGCTGCTGAAATATTTGGCGGTAAGGACGTTCATGGCGGAGGAGGTTATGACCGCCGTGATAGCCACGGTTTCGAAATATCTGGCTTTGATATATTGGCAATTTTGCGACGGTTCTGTAACGGCCCCTCGTGTCACACGGTCTTGTAACGGCTTTGTACCGTTTAATTTATTTCTTTATAAACCATTCATTAGTTTGTAACGGTAATTTAATAATTACCAATTGATTTATAACGGTTTCGCAGCCCCCTCTCTCTCTCTTTCATTTGCCTATAAAATTAAACTCCAAATCACGATCTTTTAAGACACATTGGATTAAGAGAGAATTTTTTTCTTTCCCTTTTCCTTTTCTTCTCATTTCTTTCCTTGCTTGGTTATACATGCAATTTAGCTGAGTAAAGAAGATTGGGAGGATAGCCGCTAGAGCCTATCGTACCGAGTTTCGTACTCTAAGAAGCGTAATTATCCACGCTAGGGACAGTGCTTGCACGTTTCGGACAATTGATCTTATTTTCTCATCTTTTCCAATAGATTTCCAACAATTCTCATTTTCATCTTCTTCAAATTTTTCCAATAATCTTAAGAATAATTTTTCTGTTGTGCATTACGACATGAGCTTAGCTCTTACATGATCCGGTGAGCCTGAACATCAATCTGTGTGAGGTGGAGGTGAGGCCAAACAACGGAGCGTGAGCGATAGATTGTAAGGGCTTTGCTGAATGAAGTTCGAGGCAGCTACTTCGATTCTCCTATCAGTGACTGTAGGAATGCGCTCTCTCGTTCGTTTAGAGGATTCCAATTCCAACGAGTAAGCCAAGTTCCGACATTTCGTTCTTTTGATTTTTGGTGACCTCGCGTGTTTGTGTTTCTAGTTTACACATGCCGTGCATTTTTTATTTGCAGAGGCATTGGCCAATGAGACCAGAGTCTGCAGCACCGTACATCGTCCTCGAAGTTGATCCTTGCTCGCCGTCTTTCACTGGTAGATCGAGTCGTGGCCGAAACTGCCGCTCCCCTATCACCGCCGTTCCTGCCGCCGCCATTGGAGCCTGGTATTCCCTTTTCACGTTGAAACCGAGAGCTTTCGAGCTGAATTGTTCTTCATGCGAAAAATTTGTATGCGTGCTGGTAATTTGCTTGATGTGTCTCGGTTCATATTTGTGTCCACTGCTCTTATGAGATGAATTCCATTCCATGCATTTCAGAACTCGGCCTAGAGCCTCCGAATGCACTTGCTTACTAGCATTCGTCCATATGAGTTTGATGCTCTTGATTTCGATCAATACATGTTATTGTGCTGGAATTAGACTTACACATGCTGGTCGTAATTTCACTTCTCTATTTTGTCCATGGTTTAGTTGGCATTTGATATCATTTTGATCATACATGTTTACATGCCTATGTGATATAATAAGATACCGAAATCATGTTAATTCTTTGGTAAGTAATGAGGGAATTCTGTTTTGAACGTGCATGAATTCGCCGGAACGGAGCTTGGACTTGCTGGTTGCTTCGGTTCATCCATAAATGAGAGATACTGTACCTTGTTTTATTTGATTTGTGACTTGCAACTGCATCGTGTGAACGTAGTTGATGTGTTCATTGCATGTGTACATGTGTATGCTGAGCTGCAAGTGCATCTTATGAACACAGCTGGTGCGTTCATTACAAGCATGCATTTGAGGTGCTGAATTGCTTATGCTTTGTGTGATCGTTACTGATATGCTCATTGTTTGTGAATTCATGCATTATCCTGGTGTCACTTAATCATTAAAGGCAAGTTCTGGATATTCTTCGTTGATTTACCTGGATTTTTCTTTCTAATCATGCATTTGTTGTGTCGTTTACTTGTTGAATGTGGTCTGATATATATTGTTAGAATTACGAGCATTAAGCTTTTCTTGAGCATATTTTATGTAGTGGAACCATAAACTTTTGCATTTTGTCTAGTGGATTTCGCGTTGTATTAGAGGGACACAATGATGCTAATTGGATCTCTGATTCAGAAGAGACAAAATCCACTTATGGATATGTGCTCGCCTTTGGTAGAGGTGCTGTAACTTGAAAATTAGCCAAAAATATTGTGAGAGAAATGACAATCCTGTTAAATCAAAAGTCGATTAGTTGAAGCACATGATTATGATGACATAAATTACAGTCATTTCTCAAATCAATATTGTGGCCAATGTAAGGAATGGATGGTAGATTCAGGTGCTAATAAGTATATATTTACAGACAAAATGTCTTATCGTCCTACGCTCCAATAGGGGATGGAGAAGAGATTATTTATCTTGCTGACTCAAGAACTGCTCAAATTCTTGGGAAATGGAAAATTCTTCTCAAACTCACATTTGAAAATGAGGCTGAGTAGTAGACAAACTTCTTGGCAGGTATTCCTTTAAGAATGAAACCGACACCCTTTGTGTCTAGGCATTGTAATTGCAAAGAGGCAATAGCCATTGCAAAGAATAAAACTTTCAATGGTTAAAAGAGACACATCCGAATGAGACGTGATGTGGTAAAGTAATTTGCTTAAAGATAGAATTATGTCCATTGATTATATAAATTCAGAAGTGGGTTTGGCCGATCCTCCAAACTATTCATTGAGGGAATTGGGACTTAAGCCAGTTGTGAAAAATTAACAGTGATGGTAACCAAACCTATATGATTTGAAATCCTATGAATTAGGTTCATATGGGTGATATGAAGTTACTTGTCGATCCAATGCTGCACTATCAAACAAATCTGTTCCTCCTAAGATGAGAATAGTGCAAGACTGCAACGAAAGAGAGGTAGAGCTAAGCTCTTAATGAATTCATAGTCAATATTAATGGTGTATTAAGCTCTTGAATGCACTTGATGGAGTGTGTATTGGGGCCGCTCCTATGAGAAGTTTGGCAAAATCTCTAGAGCACTTATGAATAAACCAGGCACGCGAATGGCTTATTAGCATAAAACCAAATTGTGAGGTGTAATGTAATCGGTGAAAATTATAATTCACAAAAGAAATTTTTGGTTCATAGAAGTTTCAAACTTCATCAATGATTTCATGAATTATAATTTATTCTTGCTGTGTATCCCAAACAAGCACCAGTTCTGATGCATTATATTCAATTGAGTTTAACCCACCATTTATTTTTTTCCTTTTTCTTTTCAAAACCTTTTGAAATATGCGAGAGATTGTTGGAGTTTTGAAATATTTGAAAGTAACGGTTTTGATAGAAGTTATGACCGCCATGAAAGCCATCATTTTGCAACGGTTTTGTAACGGCCGTGTTACGGTTTTGTAACGGTTTTATAACATTTGATTTATTTCTTTATAAACTCTTCATTATTTTGTAAGAGTCATTAATTTAATAACTCTCTTTCGTTTGCCTATAAAATTAAACTTCAAACCATAATCCTTTGTGACACACTGAATTAATAGAGAAAATTTTCCTTTCCTTTTCATTTTTTTCCTTGACGGGTTATACATACAATTTAGTTGTTCACATTCCGTCTATTATTATGTGCAGAGTAAAGAAGAATGTTTGTTCTATCTTCGGAGGATAGCCGTTACAGCCTATCGCATCGAGTTTCATACTGCGAGGGACGAAATTATCATTAAGGATAATGTTTGCACGTTTCGGACTATTGATCTTATCTTTTCAACTTTTGCAATAGATTTCCGACATTTCACATTCTCATCTTGTCCAAAATTTTCCAACAAATATCACATCCACAACCACCCCAAACTTGCTTGTTCATAGCCACATCCCTACTAGACGAACCAAATAGCATGGGATCAGACAATGGACCACGAGCCCTTTGGTAGGTTTAAAGACCCAAATGCATGTGCCTAGAACGACATGAGGACGTGTGAGTTTTCTTATTTAATACTCGTATGATTTCATGAATGAGACCAGTCTATCGCTTAAGATTCCAACAAATCAGTGTCACTGATACTGCGAAAAGGAGGAGGTAAGTCGGAGTTTGGTGTACTTTGGCCTTATTTGATTCGTAGAAGGGGACCTACTGGGAACCTTATGAAACATTTACTTGATCTTTTACGAATTGAACGAGATCAGAACTGGGAATGTACGCAAAAAAGGAAATTTAACTACCAACATGTTAAGCTTCTAAACCCGAGTTTAACAACTCGGTTACTCGTAAAATGGTCGCTGATGGCTGTGACCTATGGCGCGACCGTTGCTACAAGGGTCACCGACGAAGGAGGAACCGGGGTCAATGTGGTCGCCGATTACAACGATCGAATCGGTTCGATCGATAAACCAAATTAATATTGGCCAAGAATACATGGGAAAATCACCACCGATGTTTTCCCTTTTCAGCTTTCTTGCTCGGGTTATTCGGAGAATGGTCGCCGATTACAACGATCGAATTGGTTCGATTGATAAACCAAATTAATATTGGCCAAGAATACATGGGAAAATCACCATCGATGTTTTCCCTTTTCAGCTTTCTTGCTCGGGTTATTCGGAGAATGGTCGCCGATTACAACGATCGAATTGGTTCGATTGATAAACCAAATTAATATTGGCCAAGAATACATGGGAAAATCACCATCGATGTATTCCCTTTTCAGCTTTCTTGCTCGGGTTATTCGGAGAATGGTTGCCAATTACAACGATCGAATCGGTTCGATTGATAAAC